AGAACATCGTCAAATGGTTCTTCCAAAAGGTTATACCAGTTCCTGTTTGCAGCAAGAGAGTCTGAGGATGCTTTTTCCCCCAGCGCCATTTCCATCTTCCAAAATTCTGCGAAGCTGGCAGATAAAACATGATTATCTCATTGTTTTAATTTGCGTTTCCTTAAACATTATGGAGGCAGAACATATATTTTTGTTTCTTGGTCACTTATATATTTTATTTTGAGGATTTTCTATTTCTGTCCTTGGTCCATTTTCCCATTTTTGTCTCATTTTCTAGGATGTTCCTACATTTTCTGGTCACGCTCTTTCGCTGCAGTGTCTATTCTGAATCGGTGGTTTGTTGTTTTCACTTCGTTTATGGTGTCTCGCGTTGAACAGAAACACTCTGTACTAACATAGTCACGTTTATCAGTCTTTCCTTTTGTGATGTGCTTTTCACGTCGCTATGCAGAGATCCAAAGCAGGTTTCTCCTGTACTTCCTGTTTATAAATGTTTTACAGTTTAGCTTTGCATCTTTGGAACCTGTATCACCTTGGTTTCGGCAGTGCTGTCTACGGTGGGTTTCCCCAGGAGTTGATCCTGAGACAAGGATATGGGTGGAAGAGGGGATGGGAAAGAAGTCCAAGGAAGGGTGCATTGAAGAGCAGGTGCCGCTGGGAATGGTGGGGAGGTGGTGTAGGACATTCCCCACGCCTGTCCCTCTAGAGAGTCCAGGAAGCTGTGGCATTATCCTTCAGCCTCTGCCCATCGCCACTAGCACTACCAGACCCTACTCCTGGGACACTGACTCCCTGGGGTCACAGAGGGCCGTGGGTGTTCACGGGGACACTTTTATATGTACTGGGTCGGGGGATTGAAGGGAGGGTGGCCCGGGCACCCCTGTGTCTGCTATAGTGTGAGGCTGGGACCTACATTAATTTTGTTCCAAATGGACCACCCATGGACCCAACATATTTATCCATCCACTTTCTTACTTATTTTATGAACTCAGATTTCTGGTGTTCAGTATTCTGGGTGTATCTGTCTATCCTGTGTTGCTATCACATTGTTTAAATGGTCACAGCTCTATAAGTCTTGATACCTGGTAGGGGAACTCCCTCCTCATACCTTGACTTGCTCCTCCTTTTGGACATTGTTCTGGCTATTCTTGGCCCTTTATTTTGCATTTGTGTTTTAGGACTCCATTATGGAGTTCCCTGAAAAGCCTCGTTCAGAATTTGAATGGCATTGTGTTAACTTTATAGATTAATCTAGGAAGCGTCATTTTGTTTATGGTGTTGAGTCCTTCTGTCCGTGAACATGCTGTGTATCTTTATTTCTTCATGCCGTCTGTGTTCTGCAGCCGTATTTAAGATCTGCACATCACTCTGCCTCTTGAAACCTCAATCGCCCCTGGTTTATTCTGCTATTGTAAGTGATGCCTTCTTATTACATGTTTTCTAGTCAATTGCTGCTGGGCATGGAAATGTTATTGATCTTTTATAATATACACTGATCTTATATCCAGCAACCCTGAGAACCTTCTTCACTTTTCAGAGTCTGTGGAAGCTCTTGGATTTTCTATGTAAATAATCATATTATTATCTGCACAGCATCACAATATGTTGTTTTATTCTTTCCTATTGATGGAGGACAGGTGAGCCCCAAGCTGGGGCTTAGCCCCTGAGCATTCTTGGCCTTGCCAGGAAAGAATTCAAGGGTGAGCCGGGGGTAGGGTGGAAGAAACAGCGTTACTGGAGCAGCAGTGTTACAGCTCCGATGGAGTCACAGCTCCCTGACTGCTCCTGCCGAGCGGGGCTACCCCACGGGCAGTGCGCTGAGAGGAGCAGTTCAGGCCAGGGCAGGGCTGGAGTCATAGTCATGCCTGCTTTTTTTTTTTTTTTTCAGACTGAGTCTGCTCGGGCTGACGTGCAGTGATGTAGTCTCGGCTCACTGCAACTTCATCTCCCCAGGTCAAATGATTCTCCTGCCTTAACCTCCCAAATAGCTGGGACTACAGATGTGAGCCACCACGCCCAGCTAATTTTTGTAGTTTTAGTAGAGATGGGGTTTCACTGTGTTGGCCAGGCTGGTCTCAAACTCCTGATCTTAGGTGATCCACCCACCTCGGCCTCCCAAAGTGCTGGGAGTACAGGCGTGAGCCACCGCGCCCAGCCCGCATCTGCTTTTAACTGCATGCAGATTAAGGGGCAGTTGATGGGGAAGATTTTAGGGGAAGGATAGTAACTTTTGGGTTGTCAGGTCATTGCCATGGAAATTGCCTGTCCCTCTGGAGGGCCAGGAAGCTGTGTGGTATTATCCCTCAGCCTCTGTCCCTCACCGCCAGCACTACCAGACCCTACTCCAGGTGTTGCCATGGCAACAGTAAACTGACAGGGACCCTGGTGGGAGTGTCTGCTGGAAAGCTGCTTCCACCGGGTCCCTGTTTTAACCAGTCCTCAATTTGGTCTGGGTCCGATCCCTGCGTCTGGAGTTGAGTCCTGCCTCCTACCTCCCTATCACTACACTGTTCCTTTTTCTTGTCTTACTGAATTGGCTAGGACCTCCAGGACAATGCTGAATACAGGAGTGGTTGCTGACACCCTTATTTTATTCCCGAATTTTCACGGTAATGCTTCTAATGTTTTAACATGACGCATCTTATCTGCTATGAGTTTCTGATAGATGTCTTTGATCAAACTAAGGGAATTCCTTTCTATTTTTAGTTGTGTCATGAATAGGAGTTGAATTTTATTTTATTTATGTATTTATTTTGAGACAGGGCTTCAGTCTGTCACCCAGGCTGGAATACAGTGGCATGATCTCGGTTCACTGCAGCCTCTGTCTTCTGGGCTCAGGAGATCCTCCCACCTCAGCCTCCGGAGTACCTGGGACTACAGGCGCACATGCCACGCCCAGCTATTGTTTCGTATTTTTGGTGGAGATGGGGGTTGCACCATGTTGCCCGGGATGGTCTCAAACTCCTGAGCTCGAGTGATCTGCCCACTCCAGCCTCCCAAAGTGCTAGGATTATAGGCGTGAGCCACTGCGCCTGTCCTGAATTTCACTACATGCCTCTACATCTATTCAGATGGTGATGCTTTCTCTTCTTAATCTGTTAACATGGCAAATTCTATCTAAAATATTTTTCTAAAATTGACGATTGCATGCCTGGGATAATGGTGAGTTGGTCATGATGTCTGTATGTTTCAAATGCTCTGCTTAATTGTCCTGCTTATATTTATTTAGGATTTTTATATCTCTGTTCAAAAGATTGGTTTATAATTTTCTTTGTTGTGCTTTGTCTAACTGTCAGTGATGCCATCTTCCTAAACAGAGTGGGGTCTGTCTTTCATATTATTTGAAAACTTTGCTTACAGTTTCATCTAGGGTTTAGCATCTATTAGCATCAAGTTGTTCATCATCTTCTCTCATGGCTTTTAATGTTCCTGCCATCTCAACAGTTAGGATCTCTTCTGAGGAACACTGTTTTTGTTCATGCCTTCCTCCTTTGATGTGGCTGGACTTGCTAGAAGTCTGTTCATTTTGTTGGTCTTTTGGAGGAATTAGCTTTTGGCCCTGCTGACTGTTAAGGGTTTTAGAGACCCTGATAAATAACATCTTTCTTTTTTATGGGATTTATATATGATTTGAGGAATGAGACCAACAGGGAGCCTGGGAGACCAATGATCATCTTGGTTGCTGAAGAGGCTGGTGGTGCAGGAGGATGAAACACACCTGCGCGCAATGGCCCCCCCAGGGCTGCACCGGCGGTGAGACGCCCTGTGTGCTCGATTACACAGGGCTGGGGAACAACCCACGCCCGGTCTCCGAGAGACATGGTTTTGGTGCTCAGTTGACTCTGTGGTCAAGAACAAGAAGAAAACACTTTTTTTTTGTTTTTTATTTTTTGTTGTTTTTTATGAGATGGAGTCTTGCTCTGTCCCCAGGCTGGAGTGCAGTGGCGCGCGATCCCGGCTCACTGCAACCTCCACCTCCCAAGTTCAAGCGATTTCCCAGCCTCAACCTCCTGAAAACACGTTCTTGACTGAAGACGGGAGAGGGAGAGAGAAGAGGAGAAGGGGAAAGGCAGGCTGGCAGGTCCATACTGGCTTCGGCTTCCTTTCTCCGTCCCATCAGTGGAGCCCACTGTAACCCCGGGAGGTGTGAGGTCGGGGAGTGAGATGAATGGGGCCTGCAGAATTCCTTCCCCGACTTGGAGGGGAGCCTCAGTAGTAGGGGATCAACAGTCTCCCCTGACACTCACCGCCTCCAACATTGGAAAGTTACTATCTCACGAGATTTTCTTTTTCTTTCTTTTTTTTTTTAATGGAGTCTTGCTCTGTTGCCCAGGCCAGCGTGCAGCAGCGCAGTCTCTGCTCACTGCAGCCTCCACCTCCCAGGTTCAGGCAATTCTGTCTCAGCCTCCCGAGTAGCTGGGACTATAGGTGTGCATCGCCACGCCCAGCTAATTTTTTTTTTTTAATTTTTAGGAGAGACCGGGTTTCACCATATTGGTCAGGCTGGTGTCAAACTCCTGACCTCAGGTGATCTGTTTGCCTTGGCCTCCCAAAGCGCTGGGATTATAGGCGTGAGCCACGTGCCTGGCCTCTTTTACCATTTTTATTTTATTGCTTTTATTTCCTTTGACTTTCTCTAATGTTTTTTTCTAGCTTCTTGACTTGAATGCTTTAGTCATTGTTTCCAGTCTTCATTTTTTTATAAACATAAAATACAGTTAAGGGTGTAAATTTAGAACTAAGTACCTATTCATTTAACTGCATCCCACAAGTTTTGCAAAGTAGTACTTCCATAGACATCTAGTTCTAAATATTTTGACATTTATTTGTAGGTTCCTTTATAATCTATAGTTACCTAAGGCTAATTTCTTATTTCCAAATGAGGCGGGTTAAAATTTATTTTTTAAAATCATGAATTTTCAGTTTATCTGCCTTGTGCTTAGAGATTAGGGCCTATAAAATATAAATTCTTCCACTTTATTGATTGATTGATTGACTAATTGAGACAATCTTACTCTGTCTCCCGGGCTAGAGTGCAGTGGCGTGATCTCGGCTCACTGCAACCTCCGCCTCCCGGGTTCACGCTATCCTCCCACCTCAGCCTCCCGAGTAGCTGGGGTTACAGGCACGTGCCAGCACACCCGGCTAGTTTTTGTATTTTTAGTAGAGATGGGGTTTCACTGTGCTGGCCAGGCTGGTCTCGAACTCCTGACTTCAAGTGATCCTCCCACCTCGGGCTCCCAAAGTTCTGGCATTACAGGCATGAGCCACTGTGCCCACCCCGCACTTTTTATTAACTCCTCTGTGACCTTGTAAATGGTCAGTTTTTACATACGTTCAGTTTATCCTTGCAAATAATGAATATTTTCTACTTGTTGCATCCAGAGTTCTATGTAAAGTAGATTAAGCTTGTGAATTTTGCTGTTCAGACATTAGAAACCATGACTTGATTTTTTTATCTGCCTGAACCTATTTGCCTCTGATAGATGAGCATCAGAATCTTTCTCCATGCCTGTGGCTGTTCAATTTCTCCTTGTAAAAGAGTCAGTTTTTGCTTTGTGTATATTGAGGACATACTGTTAGATGCATGCAAATTTGTGCTTTGGGGGATAGTGTACTTTGTCGTTATGTTATATATGTATGCCTAATAATGCTTTCTGTCATAAATCATTGTTTTAATACTGCCAGGCCAGCTTTCACAGGTTTGTTTTGGTCTGCCTTCTAGCTGCCACCCAGTCTTAATTTCCCCCTTTTTCCTTAGTAGCAGGCCCAAGCTGTATATGTGTTGTACCTGGCTGAACAACTACATTAAACAGCTCACTTGCAGCATGGTGAGGCGCTATGACTAGATGCCAGCCCAGGTCAAGAGGGCTGCTTGAAAGAGTCAACTCAGTGGGGACAGTGCCTTTTTGTTCTTTCTGCTGCCTGGAATACTGAGTGGATGGCTGGAATTTCAGCAGCCACCTTGGAACACGAGGTTGCCTTGAGGCTGGTACCAAGTACTAGAAGTGTAGAACACAAAGAAGGAAGTCGTGGGATCCCTGCTGACCACAGAACTATTTTACCTTTTCTGGACGGCTTTCATTCATACTTTTTAATGTGAGAGTGGCTTCACTGTGTTTTTGACTTTTATTTTATTTGAGGCAGAGTCTCGCTCTGTCACTCAGGCCGGAGTGCAGTGGTGTAATCTCGGCTCACTGCAACCTCTGCCTCCTGGGTCAAGTGATTCTCGTGCCTCAGTCTCCCGAGTATCTGGGATTACAAGCGCCCACCACAACGCCCAGCTAATTTTTGTATTTTTATGAGAAACAGGGTTTCTCCATGTTAGCCAGGCTGGTCTAGAACTCCTGACCTCAAGTGAACTATCTGCCTTGGCCTCAAAAAGTGTTGGGATTGTAGGTGTGAGCCACGGCACCCGGCCTCTTGTTGACTTTATATGCAGGCAAAACGAATCCTAACATATATTCCATTTGTGTGTGTGCGTATGTGCCTTTACTTTCAGTTGTTTTTGGTGTTTTATTTTAGGTATATCTGTTCACATATTTTGGTCTTAAACTCTTTATTTAGTTATACATATATTAAAGATTTAAAGAAAAACATGTGAACTTATAAATATTCTGTAGTTTTATAAGCATCACTCACCATACCTAGGACATAGTAGGTATTCACTGTGTATCTGCTGAACAATGAATGAATAGACATGCTACAAGTATCTTCTCCCATCTGTCATTTGTCTTTTGACTATAATTACAACCTCTTTGCTGTACTGAAATTAAAATTTTTTTATGTAGCCAAATATGTAAGCCTTTGCCTTTTCACTTTCTAGGTTTCTCGTTATACCTAGGGAGACCCTACTAATACCCTCCTTTTTTTTTTTTTTTTTGAGACAAAGGCTCTCTCTGTCACCCAGGCTGAAGTGCAGTGACGCGATCTTGGCTCACTGCAACCTCTGCCTCCTGGGTTCAAGCGATTCTCCTGCCTCAGCCTCCTGAGTAGCTGGGAAACAGGGGCGTGCCACCATGCCTGACTAATTTTTTGTATTTTTAGTAGAGATGGGGTTTCACCATGTTGACCAGGGTGGTCTCGATCCCCTGACCTTGTGATCTGCCCGCCTCGGCCTCCTAAAGTGCTAGGATTACAGGCGTGAGCCACTGCGCCTGGCCCATTGTCTATTTTTTTTTTTTTGTGACAGGGTCTTGCTATGTTGCCCAGGCTGGAATGTAGTCGCCATTCACAGGCATGATCCCACTACTGATCAGCATGCGAGTTTTGACCTGCTCCTTGTCTGACCTGGGCTGGTTCACCCCTCCTTAGGCAACCTGGTGGTCCCCCGCTCCCAGGAGGTCACCATATTGATGCTGAACTTAGTGTGGACACCCGATTGGCATAGCGCACTGCAGCCCAGAACTCTTGGGCTCGAGCGATCCTCCAGCCTCAGCCTCCTGGGTAGCTGGGATTACAGGCACATGCCACTGAGCCTGGCTAATTTTTGTATTTTTTGTAGAGATGGGATTTCGCCATGTTACCCAGGCTGGTCTTGAACTCCTGAGCTCAAGTGATCCACCTGCTTTGCCTTCCCAAAGTGCTGGGGTTACAGACATAAGCCACTGTGCCTGGTCTCTGCCACGTGTTTTAAAACACCTCAGCCCAGTGTAACACCCTTGGGTAAAAAAACACTAATAGGGGTCTTCCTTGGCAGAATCACACAGTCCATTTTGTCAACATGATCCTGACAGTATAGTAGGTGTTCACATAATTAATTGATGTCAATATCAGTACAAAGCTCCCTTTGGAGAGAGTGGGAAAAATCCTCCATCCTAAAGACTGGATTGATGCCATTAATTTCCTGGATCCCTTCAACTTGGCTTTATTAAGACACTTACATCTGAGCAGGGAGTTTCATATCAGTTTCAAGCTGGGCCTGGCATGGCAGGAGGTGGAAGTGAGTCTTCCCACAGGTGGGTGGACGTCGGGCAATCTGCTGGCCTGGCAGCCTCTGCAGGCCTAACGGAGTCCTCTGACCTAAGAAGGGACAGAAGCTGGTGCTGAGATCCTGCTACCTGCTGTTGCCCTCCAAGCCACCTGTGCTGACCTTGCATCTTCCTTAATGTCTCTATATATCTCGTGCTTCTTGTCTGCAACTGCTCTGCAGAAGTAGGATCTGTTAGGGGTGAACTGTGTCCCCCAGAAAGACACATTGAAGTCCTAACCCCCAGCACCTTAGAATGTGACCTTATTTGGAGGTAAGGTCTTTGTAGTAGTCAATTTAAGATGAGATCATTAGGGTGGGACTGAATGCAATCTTCCTGTGTCTTTACATAGGGACATTTGGACCCAGAGACAGATATAAAGGGAAAATGTCATGTGAAGATGAAGGCAGAGGTTGGGGTAATGCATAAGAAATGTCAAAGACTGCCAGCAAGCCCCCAGAAGCCAGGAGAAAGGCATGGGACAGCTTCTCCCTCACATCCCTCAGAAGGAACCAATCCTGGCCTCCAGAACTGTGAGATGATAAATGTCTGTTATTTTAATTACTCCATCTGTGGCTGTTGTTATGGCAACCCCAGGAAACAAATGCAGCATCCATCGCTCCTCCAACACTCAGGAAGTCCTTCCCTCAGGCCTGCCTCTCACCCTGGAGTCTCCTCCTGAGTCTCTTCAGCTCATGTCTGAATTTTTCTGTTCAATGAACAAGTCAAGTTCACATCAAGGCGGAGGCTGAGTGTGGGCTCGAAGCTGCCGGGGTCTTGCCTGTGTCCCCCAGACTGGGCATGTTCCTGCTGGCCAGGCCTGGACCTTACTTTGACCCTTTTGTAATCCCTAGGTTGGTTCAGGTATGGATAAGAGTCAGCTAACAACTGATGGTCAAAAGCGAAGAGGCTGGGTCCAGGAGACTGAGTCTTCTTTCGTTTGTCTTATTTTAAATGTTGGATTTCAGAGCCATGTTGCTCCATCTTCAGGCGTGTGTGACTGAAGGTACAGGATCTCATTCAGATTAAGGAAAATAGTATGAATTTTCTTCTTAATCACATTAAAAAAATTCCTCTAGATCACAAATTCATGTAGGCAATAGGAAAATGATATTCATTTTTGAGAAAATATAGAGGCTTTGTTAATAAGCTAGTTAAAACACAGCTGAGTTGAAGGATAAATCCTGTTTCCCTGAACTAGTAGGATTACGAAGAAATGAAGAGAAATTGAAGTCTTTGATCTTGAAATGCCCTGTAGCACCACTCTCAAACTTAGTTCAATAGGTTTGTTGGGAGAGGTGGGAGTAGAGGTGTTGCTTCCCGCCACCCCCAAAAAAGTTATTGTTATTTATATTTTTATGATTTTATTAAAATATATGCTTACTGTAAAAATATCAAGCGTTGTGGAAAAGTATTAAGAAGAAAGTAAAAATCATGTGAAATCCTACCACCTTGGCATTACCACCACTGATGTTTTGGAGCACATCCTTTCATGCCTTTCTCTATGCATCTCTTTACCCCCCAATACATTATTTTGCATACACTGGATCTTGGTAAATACTTTTTTAAATTGTTAATTGCTATTTCATTTTTCTTTTTCTTTTCTTTTGTTGTGACATCCACCTCCTGCTATCCCGGGTACACAGTAGCATCTTTTCTCCAGGCTCACTTAATCATACACAAAGTCCCTATACATATACTGTAGAGTTTTCAACAAAATCAATGCTTGTCTTTTTGACAATGGGATCAAATCGTAATGCTTCTCTGTATCTTGATTTCCTCACTTCACATGTTACAGGAAGCCCCCAGGCCATCTTGTCTAAAACTCACTTGCTCTTTCACGGTTGCATAGAAGTTCACGGTGCAAGTATAATGTCCTTTGCTCACCCTGAGTGAAGGTCTTTCACTGTGGCTGAGGCATGCTCTCTGTCACAGTCACGTCCACATAACCCTACGTACTGCTGCTTTTGTGTCCAAGGGTCAGATTCCCAAGGATGCTATTGCCCAAAGGGGTATGCATATTAAAGTTTTAATATATTAGATGAATTGATTTGCAAAAAGATTATTGTCAATTCATGTCCCCACCAGAAGTTT